AGTAGAGCTTCCGTCCACATATACCTTCCATACTTGGTCTGGAACTTGAGAGTCAGGAGGACGAGTCATCTCTACAATAAAATCAGCAAAGGCTTGCCCCTTCACTGCTTTTCTAGGCTCGAATGTAACTTCGAGGCTCTGTATTTCTATGGCACATTTGATCATTCGGCCTGACGACTCCATGATGGTAAGTGGCCGCTTGATAGGTTGGTCTGTATACACGACGACTGCATGTGCCAAAAAGTAGGGCTTCAATTTTTTAACAGCCATGAAGAGTGCAAGACCAAATTTCTCCACTAGGGGATACCTCAACTCGGCATTTTTCAGTACGTGACTGACAAAGTAGACCGGGAGCTGACAGCCGTCCCTTTCAGCAAGGAGAACAGCGCTTAACGCATGATCAGAGACGGCCAGGTACATGTAGAGAACCTCTTTGGGCAAAGGGCTGACCAGCCTCGGCAAGGAATGCAAGTGAACTTTTAATTTCTGGAAGGCGGCCTCAGCATCCGGCCCCCATTCAAACCTTGCCTTTTTCTTAATTGCCTGGAAAAAGTATAGGCATTTGTCGCCTGATCGGCTTAGAAATCTTCCCAAGGCCGCCAGACAACCTGTTAACTTCTGAACCTCTCGGATGGTACGAGGCGACTGCATGTCAATGACCGCCTGCACCTTCTCAGGGTTCGCCTCTATTCCTCTCTGATTGATAAGGAATCCGAGAAATTTCCCAGACTCAACTCCAAATACACATTTCTTGGGATTGAGCATGACATGGTGCCGCCTGAGTGTGGCGAAAGTTTCTCGGAGGTCCGACAGATGATCTTTCTGAAGTTTAGTCTTGACAATCATATCATCAATGTATGCCTCGACGTTTCTCCCAATCTGATCAAAGAACACAGTGTTTATCATTCGTTGGAAGGTAGCCGGGGCATTCTTAAGACCAAACGGCATGACCGTGTAACAGTATAACCCCTGATCAGTGACAAAGGCCGTCTTCTCCTGATCTTTCTTCCATAAAGGAATTTGATGGAAACCAGAAAGGCGTCCATAAAACTCATCAAGGCATGGCCGGCTGTTGAGTCGACCAGGTTATCAATTTTAGGCAGAGGGTAACTGTCTTTGGGGCACGCCTTGTTTAAGTCTGTGTAGTCTACACACATTCGCCAGGTGTCATTCGGCTTTTTAACAAACACCACATTTGCAACCCAGTCTGGGAAGTAACATTGCCGAATGAACCCTGCATCAAGTAATTTTTTAACTTCGGCGGCTGCTGCCTGACTTCTTTCTTCACCATGGTTCCGCTTCTTTTGCCGTACCGACTTCTTTTTCGGATCCACGACGAGTTTATGTACCGCCAGATCAGGACTAATGCCTGGCATTTCATGGACTTCGAATGCAAAGATGTCCTTGTATTCTTTCAATAGGTTGTGAAAGTTGTCACCAAGGTTTCTCAGAGCAGTCGTCCCAACTTTGACTGTTCGGTCAGGACGTGAGTCGTCTAAGATCAGGTCCGCATGCTCACCAGCCGGCTGAGGGCGGAACTCATCCGGCCGCTCCTCTGCCAATGATTGCTATTTTCTTGCTTTTCTTGCGGCCCCTATCTGGGATGCCTTTCTCTTTTTGTCGCCTGCTTCTTGAACAGGCGCACTCTCCTTGTCAAGGTCTGTTTTTTCACCGCTTGACCCAGTAGCCATAACAGTGGGCTTGACATCCGAGAGATAGCACTCTCGGGCCATCCTCTGATCTCCCCTTAGGGAGCCGACTGTTCCATTATCCCTCTCAAACTTGAGCAACATAAGAGATGGGATTATAACAGCCTTGGAATTATTCAGGGTAGGTCGACCCAGAATCATGTTGTAGGCCGAGAGTTCCTCTACTACCAGGAACCGGACTATCATGTGTCGTCCTTCCCCTTTTTCGCCTAGGCGGATGGGTAAATCTACTCGTCCCAGTGGGTGGAAGACTCCTCCTCCAAACCCTACTAAAGGGTGGGAGGCCGGATGTATGCAATCAGTCTGATATTTTAGTTTCGACAGGCATTTGCTACTGATGAGATCTGAGGAGCTTCCGGTATCTATGAGGATTCGGCCAACTCTCTGGTTGGCCACTTTACATTCAATAACGAGAGGGTCGTCATGCGACCCCCTTACCCCTCCTAGATCTTCTTCAGTGATGACAATCTCAGGAAATGAATATTTGGACGACCGTTCTTGGTGAACGAAATTTACATCTAACCGCCTGATATTGTCTTTGTTGCCCCTAATAGTGGGGCCGCCTCCTGAGAAGCCGCCTGCAATGGTGTAGACGACTGCATCATCTGTATCAGAGCTGTCGGCCTGCTGATTCTTTTTGGCCGTCTACTTTTTTGAGGAAGTGTTCCCCGTAGATTTCTTGACATAAGTGTCAAGATCACCTTGCTCAGCCAGGCGGTCTAGGTACCGCATGAGACTGATGCAGTCATTGGTGTGATGACCAACATCATCATGATAAGCACAAAATTTATCTTGGTTCCGATTGTTTGCAGAACCCTTCATGGGGACCGGCTTCTCAATTGAGATCCGTCCCTTGATTTCTTTTAGGATAAACTAGTTATCCTTGTTAAACGCATACTTTGGGGAGTATGGTTTGAATTCTTTTTTCTTTTTCTGGGCCGGCTGTTTAGAGGAATCAGCCGCCCATACCTCTTTTCTTTTCTCATCTTTGTTAGACGACTGTTTCTGCCGTCCTTCTCTTTTGTCGAACCTTTTCCCGTCCGACTGTTTTATCGTACAAAGATCAGTCGCCTGTATATAGGCTTCTGCTTCAATCAAGGCCTCTTGAAGAGTCGCCACCCTTTTTCGAACCAAATCAAATTTGAAGGTAGACCCGTCTTTGAGACCTCTGAAAAAGTCAGTATAAGCTATCTCATCCGGTAACCCTTGAATCTGTATTCTCATCAGGTTAAACCGCCTGATGTAAGAACGAAGCCCCTCCTTCTCGCCCTGCTGAATTGTTCCCAAATCAAGGGTCGTTTTCTTCGCAGGGATGTTCATGGCGAAGTTGGAGGCAAATAAGTAAGCAAGCGTCCTGAAGCTATTTACACAACCAGTCGGCAGGTTGCCGAACCATTGCTGTGCGATTCCTTTGAGAGTCGCTGGGAAACACTTGCACCAAGTGGGATCATCCAACCCTTGAAGGTACATCAGGTTGGTGAATGCCATCAGATGGTCTTCTGGGTTAGTAGTGCCGTCATAGGCGCCTACTAGTACATTTTTCACTTTGGCCGGCTGAGCGGCTTCAGTAATTTCCTTGGAGAAGGCCGACGGCTGTTCACCAAGTCTAAGCAACCGTAGCTGCCAGTCCATAGGTTGGACGTTTTTTTGCTGCAGGTCCACCAAACGGAGGTGGCTGCAAAAAATACTGTTGTTGCGGCACAAATGGTAAGTTTGGTACCGCCTGGTCGCTATGAAAGCCGGACTGACGGGAGGTGCCGCCTGACTGACTCTCATGATACGACTGAGTATGCCTCATCGAGGCATTTCGCAAACTGTCTTGAAAGTTTAAAGTAGAGGCCGACTCTGACAATCGGTCACTCTTCTTCTGCTCTATCAGTAGCCGAGCATCTGTGAATGTTTTCTTCGACCCGTCCGCCTGAATATGACGAACAGGTTTCCTATTTCTAGTAGGATAACGGAATTTTGTGAAATCAAGGGCAGGTGGCTCCCGCTTCCTAGATTTAGGATGAGGAGTCGCCTCTCGCCCTTGAACTGGCTTCCTCTTCAGTGAAGTGGAGGGTTTCTTGGCCGACTGCTCCTTGACTGGAGCAGGCGGCTTCTTGTTGATCAACTCTTGAATCTCTCCCTTGAAGTCCCTCATGAAGGTCATGAGTTCGTTCCTTGTGATGGGAGCAGACCCATCAGTCGGCTGTTGCCGAACAGGCGGTGCGCCTGCTGGCTCGCTTCCTGTTTGAAGATGCTCCCGTTCCCTCCTTTCGGTATGACGGGTACGTCGGGCCCTTAGGGTCCCGTCTGAAGCTGTATGAGCTTCAACTTCAAATTCACTTTCGGTATCATGGTCCGACTGAACTTGAGGGTCGTCTAGGGGACGCCTCTCTTCAGGAGTCGGTACAGACTTGGATGCCATCTCAGAAGTACTCTCCCCACAGACGGCGCCAAATGTTTCGGGGTTTTCTGATGTCCTGCGGGAGAGTTACAATTCCGAGACTGGAACCGGACGCCTGTACCTGCAAAATAACGGAGACTCCTGTGAGCTCCGCCTCCAACGGTCAAGTTAGTACCTGATTAAGGAGTAATTAATGCGGAAATTAAAGTGGTTTGGTCTCTCTAGGTGAGAGTGTTTAATGTAGGTAATCTGCTTTGTTAGCGAGATCAGCCGGTTATTACTGTGTGTAATTAATGTGTTTTTTCCGTAATGTTTCTGTTCTCTTTTTGTAATTCCCCTTAATGAGGATTAAGGGAGGTATTTATAACCTTGGGAAACGTGCCCATCCTAGGTTTAGGTCCAAGGTGGACGAATAAGCGCGTGCCACGTGGGAAGCCCTGACTGTTCCAACTGGGGGACACTTGGCAGGACCTGATTGGTCCACGTGGCGCATTCCGATTGGTGGGAGCAAAATCCCCTAATCAGTTATAGCTAAAAATGATCTAATTTGATCATTTTTAGCTATAACTATTGTTCATTTATGAATAGCAAAGAATGGAAGAAAATGTGGTGTTTCTGTAAAAGATTTTTAAGATCTAAGTGTGGGGGGCTTGCTCATCTGGTCAACCGAGGCCTGCAAAACAAAGAGAGTCAACTGCCTCGGGGTGTGTTCCCGAGAAAGCCCGTCCGACGGTCAAGTCAGTCAATCGTTTTAGAGAGAGAAAGTTTGTAGAGAGAGTGTGGAGAAAATTCATTACTCGGCTGATTTGTGCTAACCGATCTTTATAAAGGAGAATTAATTGACTGATTAGGGTTCGGATTAGAGGTTTGGTCATCTTGGGTATTAGGCATTGTTGGGTTGTATTAAGGTTTCTCGAGATGCATGCTTTGGCCAATTCCGAAATATTTCTGATCTAGGGTTTATGCTAAGGGCATTTTGGTAAATTCATCCTTATATGAACTAGGCTCACAGAGTGGGCCGGACTAGAGGGAAAGAGACTTAGAGAGCAAATGCATCTAGAGAGAGTAGTATTGTTTCAAAAAAAAAAAAATCTAGAGAGAGTAGTATAGATTGACTACAAAGGACGGACAGAAAAAAGAGAATACGTGAATTCATCGTTGACGGAGTAAACACCATCTATAACGTTGTTTTTTCCCCCGTCAAACCTTCAATTAACGCCCCTATTATCAAAGTACAGATATACCCTCAAACTATTGAGTGAAAATCCAATGCTACCCCTATCAAGATTAGAAACTTGAATTTTCTGTTTGTTTAAACAGTTTAGCTGAACATATTTTAACATCACATTAATTTTTTGTCACAGTTAATTCGAAACGGATGAAGAATGTTTTGCAATATTTACAAGTTGAAAATTATTGTTTTTTTTTTTTTTTTTTTGAAAAAGTTGAAAATTATTGATCATATTAGTAAGCATGACATTTTGCAATTGCCATTTGCCACAAACTTTTATAGAAGCTTAGTCATAATCAGTTGGACCCACAGAATCATTGTTTAAGCCCCCCTAACCCCTCGAAAGTATCACACTAGATTGCACCCCCAAAAAGTATAACAACAGATTTTAGATTGCACCCAAAAAAAAGGAAAAAAAAAAAAACCTCAAATCTTTCACACTCAAAAGTCACAAACACTGTCATTTCCACCTTCCCCCGTTCAATACGGAGCAGTATATGCGCAAATGCAGTAGCAACAAACAACCAGATTCAAATCTTAAAAAGAGTTCAAAAAACACGAGAACCCATCAAATCACAATCTTAATTAGTCGTAATCTAATAGGCTTTGGATTCAATCTCTATTAGTCATAATTTAGTAGGTTTTGGATTATCGGGTATATAAGGTATTATCGGACGTCCTGTCGTGTCGTATCGGTCCCTCAAATTCTGTATTCCTCCTCCATAGTTGGAATTGACCCAGCAACTGTACAAAAGGTTGCTTCCACGATCTCTTTCCTCTGCTTAGAATCCATCGAAACTTGTACTTTTTACTCCAAATATACTACTTCTATATTTTTCATACACAAAAAAAAGTAAGCCTTTAAGCCTTTTGAACGCATTCTTCCTTTCTTTCTACTAATTTTTACACCCACCGCTTCTTTGCCGACCCTCAAATAAAATTTAAGATATAAAAAATATATAAAGGGTTTTCTATAGATTTCGAAGAAAATCGGTTGGTAGCTTTCTTTCTTTTTAATTTTTGCAAAAATATTTTTGTGGGGTTATATAAAAATTTTAATATTATAAAGTTGGGTTTTCTATAAGTTTCAATTGATGGGTTGTTGTTAATTTGCTTATATATTTCTGGGTTTATAATAAAATTTGTTTTTTCTGGTTGACTGATATTTCTAATTTTGATGATTTTTTAGTTTGTTGAGTTGAAGAAGGCTGATTGTTTTTTCATCAAAAAAGTGAACTGGTGAAGTGTTTTTTATTACTACAATATAAAGGTGAGATCTCCCTCTCTTTTTTTCTTTTTCTTTTTTTTTTTTTTTTTTTTTTTAATGATGATTTTTTTTTTGTTGAATATAGTTGTAATCATTACTATGTGTTGAGCAATGATTTTGAAAATGATAATGAGATTTGTTAGAGAAATATATGATTGATGCACAATTATTGGGAATGTTTGTTTGCTTCTTTAAGCTCATTTTGATTTAAATAGTTTTGTTTCTTTTTTTAGTATCAGCTATGTGTTTTGATGTTTATTTTTTTATACAGTAATTTGGTTACATGAAGTGAGGAGTTATCATTAACTCCAAATTAACATGGAAGTTATATTTTTTTACAGTAGAAATGTAAAGCTTGATTACACATTGAATCATGATGAGATTTCTGATTCAATTCGCGTTGCAATATCGCTTAGCTGAATCAGAATGTGGAAGGAGTCTAATTTTTTTTTTGTTTTTTTTTTTCCTTGGACGGTGTTAAGCCAATATTTTGAATACAGGTTGTCTAGTTTGAGGTGGTAAACCCATTGATTGATTCGGGATTGGATATATTGAATACAGGTTGTCTAAGTTGAGGTGGTAAAACCATTGTTAGATTCGGGATTAGATACTTGAATACAGGTTGTCTAGTTGAGGTGGTAAACCCATTGTTTGATTTGTGATGGGATAATTGAATATATGTTGTCTAGAGCAGTAAAGAATGCAGTAAGCATCAACCTTGAGATCGTTTTCAGTTCTGTTAGATTTGTTTTATTTCCATTCCTGAAGTTTAATCAACAGGCAGGGGTGATTATAATGCAAAGATTAAACTGAATAATTAATGATCTTCACATATTTGGATGTCAATAATTTTCTGTGATTCTTACTCTATTTTTTAGTGATATTTTTGCCTTTTCCTCTTCACTTCCTGAATCTTGCTTTCAGTGAAATTTCTTATTCCTCTGTCTATGTAGTCAATGGATCTTTATTGTGATATTTTTTACCAGTTACGAGTATGACTTGTGGTTTTTTTTTTTTTTTTTTTTTTTTTTTTTTTTTAATTTTTTTTTTTTTAATAAATATTTTGTTTACACTTTGTTTTTTCAGATCATAGACTGTGCAGTTGTCTTGCCCTTCCTTTACAATGGCAGTGGAAAACGATGATGTTCCAGCTAGCAATGAAGCAAACAATAGCAATGAAGAAAAATCACTAGATCACTTTGCTGGAAAGCCTCGCACCACTAAGAAAGTCCCTCATTATCTTAGAGCGTCTACTGGTTCCTGCCATGATGCCTGCAAGCATGGGATTACCCACAATAAGCCAACGCGCCCTGAAAGGAGAAGAATGTCAGCACCACTCCCGCATGGAAAAAAGACCGTAAAGATTGAAATATATGTTGATAAAAAGGTTCAAAAAGCAGTTCAGTCTAACGACCTTGTGCTTCCATCAGCCAAAGAGTCTGCTCCTGCTAACAGTAAATTGATAAGAAATATACAGTCATCTAGGAAATCCCCTGTCCATGATTCGTCAAAAGTAGTTAAGCTAGAAGCGAGATCATCCACCAAATCTTCTTCACCTGATGCTCCAAAAGGGGTTAAGAAGGTAGTTCCTTCCCTTGGAAAATCATCTTTGCCCAATACCTTGAAAATCTCAAAGCATGAAGTTGCTTCAACTGCTAAAAAACCAGGTTCATCAAATCGGATACCTTTAAACCCTAGGGAAAGGAATGTTTCTGAGGGTCCACCGAACAGTTGGGCTAAGAAGCCATCATCTTCATCCACTACCATGAAAATCTCAAAGCCAGAAGTTGCCTCAGCTGCAAAAAAGAGTGTTTCATTGAAGCAGACTTCTATAAATTTTGAGGGAAGGAATGGTTCTATTGGTCCTCTGAATCCAAACAGTAGGGGTGAGACGCCATCATCTTCCCTAGGCTCCTTAAGATTGAGGAGCAAGCAGACTAGTGAGACTAAGGTTGGTGATAATCTAAGAACCTCTAGAGTTGCTGTTGTGAAGACTGTGGCTCTTTCAGCTGCCTCATTGTCTCTAAGGACTTCGAAAGTGGAGGTGAAAAAACTCTTGCATCCATCAACAGCTGGCAGAGGCCCTAAAGAACAGAATCGGAGAAGTCAAGCTTTTGTCAAGAATCAGATGTTAGCTGACGTAGCTGAACCCAAGGAGCTTGCGGATGAGAAGGTTGAGGAGAAAACAGTGCATATGATTGAGACTGAGGATCATCCTTCAACTGCTTCCGATACAGGCCTCTTGATTCAACCTCCTTCACCTTTGTCACCAGAGTCGCTCAATTCATCCTCCCAAGGAAATTCTCTCTCTTTCACTTCTCGCGAGGTTGATGACCAGTGTGAGTTGGATTCAGAGTATACTGATAGTGAGGCTGAGGGCTCAGTCTCTAACTACAATAGCTCTGGTGATTCAAAAGCAGCTGATAGCTTAAAAGAAGGAAAGGAACTGATTCATGATTCTGAGGGTCGGGACCCTGCATCTCTAAAGCTGAAGTTTCGGAAGGGAAAGGTGGTTGAACATCAATCTGAAACCAACATTCCAAGAAGGCTACGCTTCGGGCAAGGAAGGACCTTGGGCGATAACCAAGACACTAATAGTGGGGCCCAGAGGAATAGCTACAAGAAAAGGGCTGCTGACTATAACAAAAAGGAGGCAGAAACTGGTGTGGCAAAGGTTGTTTTGAAGCACCAAGAAATGGAGACCAAGAAAGATGAGCAAGTTTCATATAATAATGTGATTGAAGAAACTGCTAGTAAGCTTGTTGAGAAGAGGAAGAGTAAAGTAAAGGCTTTGGTGGGCGCTTTTGAAACGGTCATATCTCTCCAGGAACGCAAACCATCTGCTGCTGCTGATAGATGACACTTGACAACTCGACCATGTCTAATTAAATTTGCGTTACTGAGAGACTGATTGATGCGAGTAACTAACAACGCTTTCAATGGGAAAGCTTGCAGGTTGCAGCCTCTATAAACTTTGATAGGTTGAAAATGTAATTCTGACTTTTTGTTTTAGTCCCTTATGGACTCAGTTTGGAAGAGCCGGTGACTTTTAGGAATGAAAATTGTAAATGAACTGATTTCTTAAATAAATAAATAATATGATATGGTTGGTGACGAGACTGACGAGTGACGACTATGTAATTGCTACTGTTCTGATATTCTTCCTGTTGCTAGACAATTGTGTGGGATGTGTGATTCGAGATGTTGATGCATTGCTAATGCTAATTAGGTGGTTCAATGTTGTTGTAGGGGGATTTGTGGGGCTCGTTGGTATGAGAGAAGGAAGAGCCGGTAGTGTGTTGTGATGCATGGGATGATGTGGGCTGGAATTTTGGCTGGAAGCAAGTTGTATTGGTACAGGAAAGGCTGCCGTGTTAATGAGAGTGCAGCTAGGAGATGCAGTACTGCAGTAGCTTAGTGTTGTTGGTGGTTGGTGCTTGTTGTGAAAGAGATGGCAGCAAGGCAAGGGTCGAAAGCCACAAGCAACAAATCGAAGCTTTTTTCGTAGACTATATTGACTTCCTTGACCAAACTAGACTTTGAGTCACTGTGCTTGGACCTTGATATCATATATATATATTTTTTTACTCAATTACGGCCAAAGTTGTGCCTTTACAAATATGCCGATCAACCTGTTGCATCAAAAAAAAAAAGGGGATTATAATCAGTTGTCTAGTTGGTACAGAGTAAAATTTCGATAAGTTTTGAGAACACATTATAAGGTAATTTGTTGATAAGCCTGGTAAACGAATATAGTTTATCAAATGACAAATTGACATAATTTTTAATTATTTTTTTTGATTATATGTTTTTAATATTTACCGTGTTTTTTTTAATTACACCGTGTGATTTGCAATTTAACTCTATTTTAATGGAAAAATGAGAAATTGAATAGTTAACACGACGTAATGAAAATTCGAAAGGCCTTTTAAATAGATTAGTATTGATATGCCATTTTTGACCCTGGTAAAGAGCACGTTTTATTTCTCACACCAACCCCAACTTTCTCCAATCTCCCTTTCCTCCATTTCAAGCGTGAAAGGAATTCCAGAATCCCAGCAATTGTCTGAGTTTGGTGAACCAATTCTCAAAACCCTCAATTTTTAGTGTCTTCCTTATTAATCTTTGATCTTCCCAGAAATCAAGTGTTGCAAAGTAACCCAAAAATCATGGGTGTCCTCCCTAAAATTGCGCCATCAATGCTATCCTCGGATTTCGCAAATTTGGCTTCTGAAGCTCAACGTATGCTTGATTTTGGCGCTGATTGGCTTCATATGGATATTATGGTATGGAATCTTAACTTTTATTTTCCAGTGTTTTCTGTAGTAGATTTTTCATACTCCCTCCGTTTCAGAATAATTTATGTATCGATCCAATTCTAACAAAACCCATTTCGTTGATGATTTATTTTACTACGTACATAATTATTGGAAATTTTGTTTATTATGATTCATAAAATGGATGAAGTACTCTATATTAATTTTTGTTTGATTCCGTTTTAGTTGATCAGAATTTACTACCAAGTTTGCTGAATTCCGCTTTAATTATGATTCTTGTGCTAAATTATACAATGCTTGAGTTTTGTAATGTTTTTTCCTGGTCCTTTTAGCATGTTTAGTGGAGCATTAGTTAAATCATGACATTTTGTTAAACAATGAGCATAAACTTATGAGGGTGCCAACATGTTTTTTTCTTCCTTTAGAGGCTTTTGTTCAGTTGATTAGTGATTATGAGAGATGGAATTATGAATTTGATTCAGTTGTCTGTGTGTGCGTGCGTGTGTGCTTGTGTTTGTTTGTGTGTGTGTGGGCTGGGGGGGGGGGGTGGGGGGGAGGGAATACGTTCTCCATTGTTTGACTGTGTAGAGCAGATTAGTTAGTAGTGTTAAATTGAGGATTTGTAGAATTATCATCAACTTTCAAAAAATTGTAGTGGTAGTGGTAGTGTTTGCTACTCTTTCATGTTTTCGGGTTCTTTGTTCTTAAAAAGTACTTTAGTACGAGAATGGGTGGAAGGGTCAGACCAAGAACTTGCCTTTTGAAGGAAAATGAAACTTTAATGATGAGAATTTGTCAGAAAATAGATTTTGTTTCTTAATTACTTCAAATTATGAAATTCATCTAGAGGGGAAGGGTGTAAGTGAAAGTCAAGTGGAGAGTGAGAGGTAGGCGTTCCCGCGTTAGATCTTAGAGCGGGGTGGGTTATAGCTTATAGCTTATAATTTTTATATTCTCTTATACCAAAATGTATGTGTGAGTGATTCTATTGACATGGTGGATGATGGGTCATCTTGGATTTGATGAATTATCACCCATGTCTGATTTGATCTATCACCCACTTTTCATTGATTATGTGGTTGTTCATGTCTCATTGATAAAGTATCTCTAATCTAAGAAAAACCTGTGCATGGATTAGTCAATAGTGCACCGCAATTGTTTCAATGGAGGGGATGTCAGCTTCCCATTGCCACTATAGGTTTTTGGTCATGAACTGCTTCCCTTGAGAACCTTTTGAAATTAACTGACAGAGTTTAATTTTTTTTTTTTTTTTTTTTTTTTTTTTTTTTTTTTTTTTGCAGGATGGGTATGTGAAGACTAAACTTCTATTGGATTTCTGTACTGTACCATTACCTATCACCTTTTTTGAGGCTCCTGTGGTCCTGTCAGTTGGCGGGGTATTAGGGACCAATAACGAAGCTTTACCTCTGCAGTTGCAGAGGCTAGCTATATCTTGTAGTAGCCATTAGTTGACTGCACTACTTTTGGATATCCATGTCTAATTAATGCATGCACAGATCCCAACTTGTTAGCATTTTATACTTTGAAGGTATAATCTATTTTATATTACCTGGAGGTATTTATAAAAAAAAAAAAAAAAAAAAAAAACCAAAAAAAAAAAAAAAAAACTGTGCAGTTTGGAAAATCATGCAATTTTTCATCTGACTATATTTTTGTGGTAGATGATGTGGGGGTTTATTTTGTTTGTCTTTTAATTAGCCTATAGTATGTATATTGAGATGTCCATTAAGCCTAGCTGTGCCATCTCCATATCGAGTTGCTTTATGTAAACTACTTGTCAAATATTGAGCAGGAAAATCGGGGATTTTTAATGGTTCCAGAGTGTTAAGAATAAATGGATAATTATTTTGCTATTTTGTTGACTTTGTGTGATGTAAGATGATATGCACCTTGCCTGCTTAATTTATCCATTAAGCATTCAATCAATCAATCAATCAAAGCCTTAATCCCATAAGTGGGGTCGGCTAACATGAACCAAATTTGATTATCCATTAAGCATTGGAGTTATGAAATGCTCTATAGGTTGATTCTCTGTGGTTTAGGGTTAATTTGTTTTGATTCTTTGGGTTTTTGCCTGTTTTAGCTGCTGTTTCTTCTTCATTAGTTGCTATTGAACTACTGATTTTATTTATTATTTTTTTTCAATATTTTTTTTTTTTTTATAATTATTATTTTTTGAAGTTCTTCTTGCATTGCTAGTCCAACTTTAGGCTCAGCACAGTTTTTCTCTTGCTTATTCCCTTTTATGTCTATTCATCTCAACATTTATATTTCTTTGTCTTTTGAAGGCACTTTGTCCCAAATCTTACAATTGGTGCTCCAGTTATCGAGAGTCTAAGAAAACACACTCAGTAATGCTCCAAATTCTGTTTCATTTTCATTATATAACTTGGATTAGAGCTATTGCTGTTTACAAAAAAAAAAGTTTTAAAATATTTTTTATTGTCACTTGTTTATAGGGCATATCTAGACTGTCATCTTATGGTCACAAATCCACTGGATTATGTGGAGCCATTAGGAAAAGCTGGTGCTTCTGGTTTTACGTTTCATGTTGAGGTCTCTAAAGGTGCTTGCTGAACACCTGAACTGCACTTGCTTTCCTTAATTATTATCTTGCGTTGATATTTGCAGTGATGCCTATTGTTGATTTTGTAGACAACTGGCAAGAGCTTGTTGAAAAGATTAAGTCAAAGGGGATGAAACCTGGTGTTGCGCTGAAGCCTGGGACACCCATTGAAGAAGTTTACCCTCTGGTATATCTTTTGTGGTGAAGTTTCTTTTATAAAAGTGTTCTAGTTTACAGTTTTGTTGGGTGGAAGAATGGAAGGACATAATTTTGATCCTTTTGTACTTTGCAATGTAGTTGGAAGGACATAATCCAGTTGAAATGGTCCTTGTTATGACTGTGGAGCCTGGATTTGGTGGGCAGAAATTTATGTTAGAAACAATGGATAAGGTAATGATCAAATTGTTAATTTTAATGTTTTTATGAAACTTTTGATTGCCTATATTTACATTTGTTGTTTGGCTATCTAGGTTCGTGCATTGAGGAAGAAGTATCCGTCCCTTGATATTGAGGTACGATCTCACGCTAGTTGTTCTATCTGATGACAGTTTGTATGATTGGATGAGTGACCTAGTGATCCAGTATTATAATTGTTCCATCTCATATCCCTAATAAATGACTGATGTTACTGGATCTGGATTGTCTGATGAAAAAAAGATTAATAGTAAAAAAAATTGTAACTGAACAAAGAGATTAAGAAAACGATGTAGATGTTACCTTGGGGTGATGCCGATGATGTTGATAAGATGGCTGGTGCAATTTTGAAATAAATGCTATCATTTCTTGTCAGTTTGGTGCTTAATGCTTTGAGGAAGAGAATATGAAGGGGGAGCAGGGGAAAGCTCTAGGACACGTAGTAGTTTCCTAAATCTGGGCCTATCTTGAAGGGTAAGTAGCTCTTTCTGAGGAATGATTTGAAATCAGAATCAGCCTTTGCCTGAACTGGCCAGCCCAACTCCTGTACAAGCCATCTTCCCCAGTTTTCTAGCCTAGCCCGAAGTGGTCAAGTCTAGTCCAATGTCAATCAAATATGTTGGGTACATAGCCTGATCTCTTAATGTCAGCTCACATCTTGAGGATGAAAAGGGATTTTCATTGCTCTTATTCTTAAAGGGGAAAGCCTTAAGACTTTATGCCATATGTACTTGTTAGTCTATGCATTGCCACGTACACATGCGTAGCTAAGTGCTTGTCAAAAAACCTCAAGCTTGTCACAACTATGGCCAAGCTTTTTGGATGTTCTCAAAGAACTATTTTTGTTGGGAATACTGATGGGAAAGATTTATGCTGCTTAGTGATCTCTTTTGTATCAGAATAGAAAAACCAAGGGTAATCATGCATTGAAAATTGATGGGCTATTAGGTTCCTGGTAGTGTCAATGTAAACTCTAATAGTAAAATTAACCTGGTCAATGCAATTGTTTTGGATCTTCAGATTGATTTGGGTTGTTTTTAGGGACCCTTTTGTCTCTTAATCTGTTATCCTTCTTATGAAGGTGCCTTGGGAGTATTAGGTAGATGTAAATCGTGAGAGTATTAGGTAGATGAAATCTTGCTGTTATCCCTTTTTGGTCATTATTGTGTGTGTACCAGAAGCCTACGTCCTGCCATGATCATCGGACCTCAGGCTGTAGGGTGTACTAAACTTGATAATAAGAACATAATACTAGCTTGAGAATAGCCCTACAGTGTGTACACATCTTGACAATTAATTGAAAGGCTGTAGGGTGTACTAAACTTGCATGACTTTGAAAACAAAAGACAGTATGTTGCCAAAGAAAGAGTGGAAACTAAAAGGATAATTGAAGGTCAGGTAAGGTAGCCATGAACATACCTCTGAGTCTGTCAATCAGTTTGGTTTGATCAATGATAAAATGGAATAGTTTTGAGGGTGGTGGATTCATTTTTTCCAGTTACAACTACTCAATTTGATGGTATTATTAGCTTGGATGATAATTTCATTTTGAATTCAGCAACTATTAAGGTTTAGAGATGCGGGGTCTCACCTTACATGCAAATAGGGTTGAACCTATGTTACTCTGACATCCTGCTACACGTGTGTTGGATCCTCCTACACTTCGACACTATATGACACTCAAATATATAGTGGCCTTATGTGAATTTTATAATTCTGGATTGTCGGACACGACACCCAAATCCAAGTGTGGGCAACATAGGGTTGAACACTGTAGTTCAGTGAGCAATTACTAACGAGCAAGAACAAGGGAAATTTTTTGGGGAAAAGGAACCAGTTCATTGAACTGACTTTTATGTTGGCAATAGGTGTGTGGAGCAGGTTCAATGCCCTCGATAGCCCTGGTAATATTGTGCCATCTGTGGAAATTAAGCTGATAAGGGAATTAATTTTCATGAACCCGACCCCTTTTAATGCCGTGCCCTGTCCAAAAATAAATCTATCATTGAAAGGAAAGTTAGCAGAAAAAACATGGGATGAACAATGTAATTATTTGGATGCAAAATACTATTACGGTGTATGACTAGTACTAGTCCGAAACTCCTTGGCCTTGCCTTAAGATTTGTTAAGAAAACGAGGGAGTTAATGTTTTGATGATGGGGGGTAGTATTTGTAAGAAATATTAAGGATTGGTTGATTTAGTTCCTTTATGATTTGATATCTAAGAAGTTCTTAAATGGGTATTGATTCTTTTGAGCTAAAATTGGTTGGAATGGGTTTGCTGAGAGTTGAGATGGAAAGTTTAGATCTTAATGTTGTTAGTAGTGAAAATATCGCAGATGGGTTGATTTGCAATAGTTCTGTTGAATGAGGTAGCAAATCTGTGACTAAGGAGAAATTAGAGACAGTTTTTTTTTTTTTTTTTTTTGTGACACCGGAAAAAGCAAGACTAACTATAATTAGAAAGCGAAAAATTAAGCGAGGTAAAAGAAATCAAATCTAATAGACAGAAACAGAATTGAAGCTTGTTGAGACTTGAGAATATACCTTCCTAGCATGCACGGCTTGTAGGATTAAGGGGGAGTGTCGGTGAAACCCATTTTGACCTATAGATGGTTTCTTATGAGTTTAAAAGGAAGAGCTAGGTCCAAGGCACAAAATTGGTTTGTTGCAGTAGATGGGAGTGCTAATCTTAAGAGGTTCTTTTTTTCAATATTGATCTCATTGTTTTTCCTCTTTATGTCTACTGTACACCATTTACTCCAATTCCTTCCTAATTTTCTCTCCTTTCACTTTTTTGTGTATGAAGATCATGTTTTAGGGCATGTTTGGATAGAGGGAGATGTATTACTAGGGTAATAAAAGTCAAACTAAGTAAAATGAAAGAGAATATAGGAAAAGAGGAGATAAAGATGGTGTGATTGTAAGGAAAAATATGTAGTGACGGTGTATTGTGTGGTATGAGGTGAAGAAAGAGGCTCATTTTGGGGGGTAATAGTTATACTAGGGGGAAGGTGGGTAACTATTATTCTCATCATGAGGATAATAATTCTTCCATTTCTCTTTTTTTTCTCATGGCACAACTACCTTATTTCATTTGTAATCACCTTGCCTCCTCCAACAACACCACCTCTAATTACTTGTTTTTTCAAATTTGACTTTTATTAACCTCTTAATATATTACCCCCAATTCAAACATGGCCTTAAAGAGGACGATGACGAGGGAGAATTTCTATTATCCAGTCTAAGCTTTCAAAATCAATTTGTAAAATTTAAAACTAACACAGGTTTTTTATTTATTTATTATTTATATATTATTATTTATTTGGCAAATAAATGAAATTTACATTACCTGAAAAATCGTGAAATATTTTAAGAAATTTGCTATATCTATTAGATAGTTGTCATGGGTAGAGTGATATTCTAACGATTTGTTTTGTTATCAATAATCTTATTGTGGATTAGTCATCATAGATCCAAACACAAGGCCTTGCGAAAACATTTTTTTTTGTGCCTTATGCAGGTTGATGGTGGTTTGGGGCCATCTACTATCGATGCTGCGGCTTCAGCTGGAGCAAATTGTATTGTTGCTGGGAGTTCAATGTTTGGAGCCCCAGAACCTGCCCAAGTTATCAAGTTGTTGAGGAAGAGCGTGGAGGAAGCTCAGCAATAGGTGAAATCTGGAAACAATTATGCTAAGGCATCAAGGCTTATTGAGTTGCTCAGATAAATTAATAATTTTAATCGAAACTTCTTTTCGGATTGACGTAAGTGAGTCACGTAAATTATACTTGAGACTACATAAACTTTGTGCATTGCAAATACCGTGTAGTGGTTGTATATCATACAAAATGTATGTGTATTGTCGAGTGTGATTGGTTTATCGAAGTGGTACTAGCTTGAGCTTTATTTTTGGGCTTCTCTCTTGTATTTGTGGAGTACTCTTTTTTCTTACTCCAAATTAGGTTTAAATCCCGTGTAATGCACAGTTGTTAAATATTTTTGACAATAATATTACAAAATATAAAGTATATAAAGATATTCAGAAATATTTCATTTGGGTATATATCGAATATGATTGTCAAATTGGATAGAAAATACATAAGGTATAAATAGTTTACTTAAAGATTTTGCCAAAAAAAAAAAAAAAAAAAAAAAACCAAGTAGGCGGAAAATTTTTTCACAAGGTAATGACAAGTATCATGGAAGGATTTGCATTTATTATAGGTTAATGGATTATTTATTGGGATTAAGGATTTTTATTTTTAAATACATAATCTGATTATTATGCTTAATCTTATTATTGATTACATCTACTTAATGTATTTGTAATACTTCCACCGTTTCGTATTAATTGCAACACTAGAGTGTTCAAAAATTTTAAGAAAACTTATAGGGTGGGGCCCAAAAGAGGATTTTCTTTAGTAACATAAAGTATTGTTAGTAGGAGAGAAATAATGAAAAAGTAGTGTAAGTGAGGTTGCTAGGAAAGAAACATAATACTACCTCCGCTAAATGTTATGTGCAACAAAATGGGAGTTTGCGGTTGCCAATGCAAAAGTTAAAGGGCAAAAATTAGAGAAAGTTTAAGGAATTTGTATATGTAATTAGGGTGGAGAGAGAATGTTTGGATAATTAATCAACCACCCACTGCCACCACCAAGACCAGCCAACACCACCCACACCGCCTTCACCAACACCACCGCCACCTTCACCACCACCGCTACCACCCCCACGAAACCACCACCACTACCAACCCCACGAAACCACCACCATTACCATCCCCACGAAACCACCACCACCCTCACGAAAACCCACCATCCCCACGAAATCACCACCGTACCACCCACAAAAACCCAAGCCACCACCTGCAAACAACCCTTCATTCGTCTTCCCCTCCCTTTTTCGGCAGCCCCCTCCCCCGTCTTTCCCTCCTTTTCCCGGCAGCCCCCTCCCTAACCTAAAAAGCCAGAAATCTAACCCAGAAATCCCAAACCCAAAAACCCAGAAATTGTCACCCAACACCCAGAAATTGTCACCCAAATCACCTAAAACCCACGCCATAGAACCCTAACCCAGAAATCCGACCATCATAATCACCTTCAATCGAAATCAAAACTCAGAAAATCGCAATCAAAACTTAGAAAATCGAAATCAAAACCTTGAAAATCAAAACCCAGAAAATTGAAATAAAAATCTAGAAAATCAAAATTAAAACCCAAAAAATCAAAATCAAAACCCTGAAAATCGAACAAAAGGAGATCCGGTCTCAAAAGATTGAATGAGGGAGATTATCAACTTTCCCTCACCGTCGTCGTCAGTGGCCATGTACGCCTCGTGAAGATGAACAGAGAGTTGGTGGTTCCAAAAACTCATGAAGACGAAGAGGAGAGAGAAAAACGAAGAAGATGAAGATGAAATAGGGTTCATCTAGAAAAATCCGAAGAACTTATGAGGAAGACCGACCATCACATTAATTGTTGGTGGTTGGGATTGTGGGTAAATGGAGGGATTAATTAAATAGGGAAATCTGATTAGTTTTAGGTTAATGTGATTAAATTAAGTTAAGGGTAAAATTAAGAAAATCAGAATTTTTAAGTAAGGGTAAATATGTAATTTCTAGGGGTTTTGTTTACTAAAAATAGAAAGAAAACAAAGAGTTGCACATAACCCTGATCATCCCATTTTGGCAAAAGTTGCACATAACATTTAACGGAGGGAGTAAAATATTTGTGAAAGTTGGATTAGTGGGTGAGAGAAATAATGATGAGTCCTTTCCAAATACAGAATTGTTGCAACTAATATGAAACGGATATAAAAGGAAAGGGTTGCGATTAATACGAAACGGAGGGAGTATTTATTTGATGTATCTATAATCATCAATAACATAATACTAAAACAGACACCAAGAATGACATGTGTCACTTCTTGTGCTGTTTATTTCCCTCCAAAACTTTTTTTTTATTCACTTCCTTCCAAAAAATTCACTTCTTTATAGAATTGTGATTCACTTCCTTTAAAAAATATTCACTAAATCATATAATTGTGATTAATTTTTTAAAAAAATATTCACATATTTTCCATATGTTTTATTGTATAAGATATTATTCAATAAGATATTATCAAGAAAAAATAATTTGAGTGTAATGCAATTTTTCAATCCCAATTCAGTAAAACTATTATTAACCATACATTATTATTATAAAGAAAATCATAAATTAAAATTAAAATATTTACATAAGATGTATGGGAACAACTTAAAATTTCTATTGAAATAATGTATAGAATATGAATAACTTATTGTATACGAAGTATTTTATAAAGAGAAAAAAAATTTATAATTTTTTTTTGACTACATATTATTATAAACACAAACTATTGGGTCAGTCAAGCCTGACCTAACGTTTCGTCAGTCCAGCGGGTTTGTTGGCCCGACTTCTTTTTTAAGGCAATTTTGTTGGCCCGACCTCTTTTTAAAAGAAATTTGTCCAGCCCAATAATGCCTAACCTATTACTCCAGCCCAACAAACTCCCTTAACGTTTATTCTTCTTTTTTTATATCATTTTCCAAAATAAACCGCCATTTGTTCATCTTCAATTTCAAGTTTCCTCCATTTTTCTTCTTCTTCGTTCTTTTCACTCGTACTTCGTTTTTGCTTCTCTGCATTCTTACTTACTCTTCGTCATCTTTGTTTCTCTTTCCATTTCTTGATTTTTGCTTTTTTTTATGAAAGATTTTAGTCTACTTATTATCGTTGCAATTCAACAGTGATGAGGTCGAAGAATGCGACTCTTCCTCCGTTATCTTCAAATGAAATGTTCTTGCTAAGTCCAATTCTGCTTCTAGGTATACATTTGAACTTTTTTTTTTTTTGAATTTTTTGTTTTCATTTAGGTTTTCCAGTTTTTGTTTAATTTTATTTATGTTGCTAAAAAGCTCTTTGATTTTTCTGTTGATGAAAGTTATTATTGATGATTGTTGATGAAGTTATTTTAAGTTTTTTTTTTTGCTTTTTTATTTTATTTTATTTTATTCCATTTTTCTTCTTCGATTGTTGATTATTATTGTCGAATTTAATTTCTGTGTTTATTTACGTTATTTAGGTTAATTTTTCGTTTTCTAGTTCAATTACAACTTGTGTTTCAATATTTGTGTTGAAAATTTGATTGTTGATTGGCAGAAAATCTCCGAAGCAAGCGTCGAAGAGAAAGTTAAACACCGAAACTAGGTTTGGTATGTCTCTGCCTTAATAGATGATTTGTATTTTATTATTGAGGATATCAACGCTTTGTTTGCTAATATGTATTCTTTGTCAATGAATATTATATATTTTGTTATTTGATATCATATTTTGTTTCTTGATTATCATTATGCTACAATACCTTATTATTGTTTTAGTAATATCCTGTATTCATTTTATTATATCCTGTATTATGTATGTAATATCCTTTGTTGTTTTACTAATGTCTCACTTTGTAATGATTTTATTTTATATTGTTTTGATGATATCTTATATTGCTTTGATAATGTCCTCTATTGCTGTACATGATATCCTCTGCTGATGTACATGATATCCTCTAATGCTTTGACTGATGTCCTCTATTCTCGTGATGATGTCCTCTATTCTCTTGATGATGTCCTATATCTAATTCTTTGTATACTATCCTCCATCTGATAAATGATGTCCTCTATTCTCTTGATGATGTCTTCTATTATCTTGATGATGTCCTCTATTATCTTGATGATGTCCTCTATTGTTCTCATGATATTATTCATTATTTTATCTTACACTTTATTTTAGCAAGAGAATCTCCTGTTAAAAAAGTTAAATGTGATGTTCAAAAGCCTCAAAAGAGAAGGAAGTTGGAAAAACAAGCTTTTGATTTGAGGTATTACATTGTGAAAAAATTATTATATGTATTATTTAAAATCGTTTTTCCTTATTTTTTCATTTTCCTTTATTTTTTTTTGTTTTTCTAGTCATTTAACTGAAGATGATATGTCAGATGTCGGAGTTGCTAGTCAGTCAAGTGCACCTTCAATGACTTATTTTATAAGTGTTTTATCTGAGAAACGAAAGTCTGATGTTAAAGAAATTGGATTTGGTGGACTTTTGAAGATGAACTTGTTTAAAGATCTAAATAGATCTTTGTATGTGCCTCTTGTTCTTAATTTTATCCTGTTGCAAAAATTTTGTTGGTTGCAGATCAGAAGATGTCTTTTAACAATGCTGATTTATACAATGTTCTTGGCATTCCTCACACTAGGACTCCAGTTATTGAATTGTAAAAAAAAGAAGCATGGTGAAAATCCAGATAAGGATAGAATCAAGGAATGGAGGGACTATTTTGGTTTAGACGATGATGAGAAAGCTGAAGTTCTCAAGCCCTAGAAGAAGAAATTTAATTTTGGATCTGGAACAACTGCTTTAAAACATGAAAAAGTTGGTGACAAAGGTATTGATGTCTTTTATTTTTCTTAATCCTATTTATCCTAGTTATAATATATCTTAAATTGTTTAATTGATTTCCTGTATTCTCTTTACTATTATCCTTTATTGTAGTTATTATTTCTTTTTTGTGTGCAGTATAATTTCTATTCTTGTTATAATGTTCTTAATTGATATGCTGATAACTTTCTTGATATCCTTCACTGTGCTACTGATATCCTCTATGCCTTTAATCATATCCTCTATATATATACACTAATGTAATCTTTTTTGTTTCTCTAGCTCCTTCAACATCTGGGATAGAAAAGAAGTTCTCTGGAGATAAGTATGTGAATAAAGAGAAGGCTCCTGGAGATAAATATGTTGCCAAAAAGAGATATATTCCTTTAGAAGTATGGAAGGAGAAATTTGAGGCTTTAAAGGATGGCGAAGATCAGTTTAAGAGACGTTTTGTGGTTTATACATTGACTAATTTATTAGCACCTTATGGTGACAAGTCTCTTAACATTAGTTGTGTTAAATCTTTGAGTGATGTTAATAAAATCAAAGATTTTGACGGGTGTGGATATATTATGAGGGAAATGTGTAGTTCTATAGAGGA